TGGCAGCTGTCTTTTTTTGGTGGATATTGTCTTTTTTTGGATGGGACTGGCTGTAGCATTTGTGGCTCTCTCATTTGTGGCTCTCTCACTAGCATGTGGCTGTAGCATTTGTGCCTTCCTTAATTAGGAGCACGCCAGCCCTCACAGAAGGGTGAAATCTTCTCTTTGTTAGAGAAAATTGCAGTGGCCCCTCAAAATCATTTATCTGAGCATTGATGCATACTAATCCATTGTCTACATTGATTAGAAACCACTCTAACAGATTTTCATCAGAATTTATTTTCACAAAATCATTCTCCAAATCACGCCACAAGCTAATGTACTGCTTAGAACCCCACGAGCAGTGCTCAACAATGAAATCAACTAGCAGCAGCCCCCCAAAGCTATTTGTGTCCACAACCTTGATTGACAAAGTTCTACCTTGCCATCATGTTTTTGGACCACTGTCCGGCAAGCTGAAAAATAAACGCACTCTAACAACAAGTTCTAATTTACTGTGATTTATCCTACAAACCACAGCAAGCAATAAACGAGTTAACACATCTGCTAATCGCTGTTATTTTCTACTGCATTGAAGCACACATCACAGAAATCGAAGAAAGTACCTGGCCTCTTGAGAGGTTGCTGGCTCTTCCATGGTGGCTGTAAGGAACCTTCGGCCAAATGGAGCTGCTACTGTTGCAGGCATGAGCCTTGGGGGCGGGGGAGGGCTGGTGGACCCGTTGCAGCCCATGGCGCCCATAGCCGGTGGCCGCACCGGCCGGGCAGCGTGGGAACGAAAAGAGGAGAGCGATGGGGGGTGGGAGGGGGCGGCAGATGGTGGAGGAGCCACGCCGCCAGCCGCGTCGCCGGTAGCCGCACCGCCACCTAGAATCGGCAAACCCTAGCGCCGCTGCCTAAAAGTTGCGAGCGCTCGCGACTCGCTCGGGCACAGGAAGGACTCGAGCGACCGAGTGAGAAAAAAGGATATGGTGCAAGGGGTATAATTGTCTTTTTGCGTAGATGCCTTTTCTTTTTTCTTTCTTTTTTTGCCATTTAATCTATCCATTTCAGACGGTGTTACATACCAGGGGCAAACGGGAGCTTTAGTTGAAAAAAATCAAGGTAAAATCACAAAGTTAAAAAAAGAGAGGCAAAATCACTATTGGACTCTGAAGTAGGGACGACAACACCAAAATCCCAATAATTTTATTATATTGGCAAACAATGAGAAAATTGTGTGTTGCAACAAAAAAATCAGTCACGTGACATAAAGGAGAGGTGGATAACTATACGTGCAAACAAGATGATTTTGTCACATCATATATATCAGAAACCAATTACTTCATCTGAACTTGTAGACTTGTGAACCTTGCATGCGTCCGCATCTGGTGACATGTGTGGTACCATAATAAGCTACTTGCACTAATCCATAGGCCATAGCAACTAAATAAAGCTGACAAAGAAAGATGAAACAACTTAAGTGACCTGAACTAATTAAACATTGGAAAGCAAAAGGAAATTAAACATTAGTGGGAATTGAATTAATCTCTTACGTTTATATATTCTCTTCCCCGTCGTTTTACTGATAGTGACGTGCACACGCTGAGGTAGCGTTCGTGAAAGAAGAAAGACATCTAGCAGTAGCCCCTCCACCACTGAACTGCGCATATGTTGGTTCGACTTCGACAGGAATGGATCGAGAAGCAGTCATTTCCATCTGGTATTAACGGTCGAATGAGCAACAACTCGAGATCATCATCCCATCTAGTTCTAGTCTAGACTGATGCATGTTCCACAACAGGTGAATTTTTAGAGGCGCTCCGATCGAATTAAAGAAGAGATTATATATATTTGGACAGCAGTAATAATAACTAACTTGCTAGGAGTAGCAGGCCGGAGTAATAATAAACAGTAGTGCATGCGATTTAATTTGTATGGACAATAACAAAGCAAAACACAAACGACGGCGACATATATGGATGTAGAAGATGGAGAAGAAGCGGCAGCTAGCCTAGCTCTTCCGATCCATCTTATTCGTTCGTTGGACTGGACTGGACAACCCATGATATGATGATCGACCTGGAACTGAACTGAGAACTGAAAGTGAAAGGAGGAAATCAACGGACGGTTGCTGCACTGCCACTGCACGCGTGCTCCATCTTGGATCCGATAGACAGATCGGCCGATCAGTAGTCTGCGGTGGGCAGCTGCTCGTGATGCGGGCGCTGTCCGATGAAGATGATGTCGTAGACGAGCGCCGCGATGGCCGCGCCCACGAAGGGGCCGAGCCAGTACACCCAGTGGTTCTCCCAGACGCCGCTGACGACGGCCGGGCCGAAGGACACGGCCGGGTTCATGGAGGCGCCGTCGAAGGCACCCCCCGCCAGGATGTTGGCGCCCACGATGAAGCCGATGGCGATGGGCGCGATGACGCCGAGGTCGCCCTTCTTGGGGTCCACCGCCGTCGCGTACACCGTGTACACCAGCCCGAAGGTCATCACGATCTCGAACACCACGGCGTTCCAGGCGCCCACGCCCGCCGACAGCGAGAAGGCGCCCACGGCCTCGCCGCCCGTGGCGATCTTGAGGAGGAGGCAGGCCACGACGGAGCCCAGGAGCTGGGCCACCCAGTACACCACGGCCTTGAGGAGGCTGATGTTGCCGCCCACGAAGGCGCCGAAGGTCACGGCCGGGTTCACGTGCCCGCCGGAGATGTTGGCACCCACGGCCACGGCCACGAACAGGGCCAGGGCGTGAGCCAGAGACGCGGCGATCAGGCCGGAAGGAGTGGTGGCGCCGCCATCCGTGAGCTTACCTGATTCATTGATTGATTGATATATATGAATGGTGGTTGTTGTTGCATTGGTTAATTAGCAGTTACTCACTCATCAATTAATTAATAAATAAAATAAATCACCAGCAACAGCAAGTAACACTCACTGAAGGCCATGCCGGATCCTGAGCCGGCGAAGACGAAGATGAGCATGGAGATGAACTCGGCGACGGCGGCCTTGGCGGTGTCGGGGTGGGACAGCTCGCCCGGAGCGCCCACGGCGATCCTGCTCACCGGCATTCTCTCTGTCTTGGTGTCTTCAACTTTGGATCGAGGACGGAGAGGAGGAGCCTAGCTGGCTGGCTGGCTGGCTGCTTGATGACGGAGCCTCCGGATCAGGTCAGGTCAGGTCAGGCTGCTGCTGCTATATATAGGCCAGGAACCGGCCGGCCGGGATTGGAGGCTGGCCGGGGAATGCCATGGAAGCTGCTGGAGAGAGCCGGATAATTTGCCCATGCATGACGACACGACCGCTTCCACAAAAACAAAAAAAGGTCCAAAAGGCCGGCAGCCTGTATCTGGATCGGGGTCGAGAATGTATGGACTCCACTCCACTGTATTTGGTTGCTTCTTTTTCCAAACAAACACTTCCTATGTCTCTAAATAATCCTATTCCGAAAAGTCAATCAATAACATTTATATCTCTGAATAAATTTACTATAAAACTTAAGATTGTTTGAGTCATCAAAATACAAGATGTGTATTTATTTTAAAACGAAGAGAGTACATCCATGCAGAGAATACGGCCCTGTTTGGTTCCTGCCGCTGCATGCCACACCACCATTTCGGTAGCGCCAAAACTGCGGTAGCTTTTGGCATAAAAAATGAGATAGGATGTGGTGACGAGGCCGCGGCATGCCGCAAGTTCAAGTTGTGATAGCCAACCAACGAACCAAACGCCCCCGGCCCATACGTTGTGGCGGCACTAACCTATTGTTGCTCATCCTGTTCGCTTGTTGGTTTCAACCAGCCCAAACCAGTTAGCCAAAAATGTTTTCCTCTCACAACAAAACAGCACCAGCCAGCCCAAACCAGCCCAGAAACCAACCAGCGAACAAGCCGGCTGTCTAGAGAGACGGAGACGGAGTAGGATGTGTGGAGTAGACAAGGATGACAGCTTTGTGCTTGTGTGGCATGGCATATATTTTAGTAGGCCCTACACAGAAAAGATGGTAGGGCGGGCCTCCCGGCCAATGCAGATGAGCCACGTGGAGGAACAATTGGTAGGGGAGCTCCTAGCGGCTGGTGGGGGCGCCGACCACGGACGTGGATTAGTTTGTCTTTCTCCTCCTTCCACCTCACCACCGCCTGCAAGGGTCGTCTGTCTTGCATTCTCTCTTTTGTTTATGGAGGATGGATGGATGGATGGAGATGAGTATTCAGCGACGCGACTGGAGGCCTGGAGCTATCGTCTCGTCTCTCCGACCTTTCGTTAAAAATTCGCATTCGCCATTGTAAGTTTTGTTGAGACATCCAAGCTTTTAACTTGAGTAAACTCAAGCGAGAGAACACTTTCTCTTGGGAGTTTGGTGGCACACAAGTCTCAAACAAGGACTGTTAGACGCGCTGCATGTTCGCTCGTCAGACACACTTACAACCATGCAATCACAAGATCATAGCGTCTGTAAATAAAAGGCCACCCTTCTTTAGATCATTGATTGAATCAACTCAGCCCGGTTCCCTCGTCCAGAATATAGGACGCAGCTCAACAAAGTCAACCAAGCAGACTTGCATCAACGTGCAAATGCTCCCCCTCTATAAACAAACCACCAACATGGGGTACGTAGAAGTTACGCTTACGCGGGCAGATGCCTCGGCTACACCCCTTCAACCACCCATGCAACTTCTTCACTTCACAATCAGAGGTTAGCTAGGACTGCTTTACTTGCTACTCCTAACCTAACCTTTCCCTTAATACACGCAGAACAGATCCTTCCCAAATTGATACAACTTAACGGCCTGCTACAAACAGATAGGAAATAATAAAAGGCTCCAATTCAGCATTCAGACCAAAAACCAAAAGGAGCACCTCTCCTGAGAAAATGTCAGTGTGACAAGCCCAGCCCCTCATATACCTCCCCAACAACGATGGTACTGCCTGTGTCGGTACAAGTACATCAACCATCAAAAACTTTCAATAAAAAAATGCAACATAGACATATCAACTTACACACAGGACAATATATCACCAGGAAAGGGCGCTCTCTCCATACACGAATATCTCATTTTCTAAATCCCTCACCCATTGGCATACTCTATTGCACATCTTGATTGCTTGAGTCTGCAAACAAGTATAATCCAAGTTAGATGATTATCCCAATACAATCATGATAACTGCACTAACCCATTCGCCCTTAGCCCTACACAAAGATGACAGCAGCTGTCTTGTGCTATGATCCAATAAATAAATAAATAAAAAGCACCCTCAGCATCAACAACTGAATGTACATGCACTGACCTTATCAGCCAGTGGATTAAAAGCTGCATATAGTTCAAAATCCTGGGTTATCCAGCAAAATAGAACTGCAAGAAAACAGAAAAGGTAAATGAACAATTTGTCACATTAAGTACCCAGATGATTATGAAACTCAATAGAGCAAGCGAATTTGACATCATCTTGACAGGGAATGTACTGCACAGGATGCTTCATAATAAATTATTTCTCTGCTGCGTCATATTACCAAGCATTTGATATCTAAACAGGTACAGATGAACAGGAGGAACCATGCGATTCTAGTGGGCCATTCTTTACCATTATCTGAGATAACTAGCTCCAGCACACAAATGAACAGCACCCTGAAAACTGGAATGTATTTGCAAACTTCTGCAACTAGTCAACTACCCCATACATCAGTCCCCACCCCCGTTCTCCTCCCTCTATATGCAGACACTGACACTAATAGATGCACCCAGTACTCTTGTGACATCACATAACCACATGTGTACTGTGCAGTTCAATCAGTTTTCTCCAGTCAAGTCACTACGATAGTATGGAGTATTGCCATAGTTTACCTGGCCTTGATGAGTATATACCAGAATCTCGGTGGTTTTGAAAGAGCAGCTAATGGAATGTGTATGCTTTCTAGAATAACTGAGCATCCAAATTTACTAAAAATGAATCACAATTTTCTATAGTACACAAGTATTTTGTTGCTAGTGCGGGTGTTACAATCGACTTACCATAATCCTCATCTCTTCGGAATTGAGTTTTGTGTGGACCAGTTGCTTTATCATGCATGGATACATACAATTTTTGGTAAGCTTTGTACAATCTGCACATATGAGGTTGTCATACAAAGAAGAATCACTATTATAGAAGTGAATGTGTAGTAGCGTCAATATTCATACCTCTTCTGCTGCTTTTTATTACTTATGGGTGAGGGAAATTCTGATGACACAAACTGGTCAAGGTAAACGCTTTTATATATAAAATGCCAGAGTCCACCTGGTCCTCCAATTGCCATTTCAGAAGACAAAGATTGTGAACTCATGTCTCGAGAGGACTCTGGAGGGTGTGATGCAGATTGAGAAGACTGGTCGGTTGGGAGATCCTCAACACGCAATGCATTCTCGTGTAAAGATCTTTGGACTTCAATGAGGACATTTGACTTCAAGAAAACATTTTGAATGCGGGCCCTAGACATTGTTCACAAAAGTATAGGCTATGTCAGTTCAATTTTTGGTGGCACACATTCAGACACCTCGTGAAATCCAAATCATGTAGTCATTTATTGGCCAGCTCACCTGGAATCTTTGAGATCATAAAAGGCATCTGATCGTGTAGTAAGCAAAGTCACATATGTATGTTCCTGTCAAGAAGAGACCCACATTTAAGCTGCAATGCTTTTAGCCTCTATACCAGTTATTATGTAAGAAAAGAGAGATTGTGCATACGAATGGCTGAGGTCAAATTCCTAGTTACTCCTACATTTTTGTCCAATATCACGTGCACTAAAACAGGGGGAGAAACGTCTCAATGTGCTCTTATCTGTGGTCTACTGCTTGTTCAGATCCTCAACAAATTGATTTAGTTATCTACCTTAGTCCCTGTATTCTTTTATTTTCAAAGTCTCATCTCACTGCCAATACCACACTCAATTTCCCTCGAACTCCAGTAAAAACACGCACATGTAGAACCAGACCCCACGTGTCATTGGCTAGCTTGTTGTTGGTGGTATAGATGAAGAGTGCCCCTGAAGTGGAGGTATTGATGAAAATCCCCTAATCTGTCATCAGTCAGCATTCAGCATTGACAATTTCTAAGCTAGAGTTCAGCAAGAACAATAAAGGTCGCGGTAGCATGGGACTATGAAATGCAAAATATCTCTGCACAAGCTCAAGATGACACCCAAGTAGTCTGAGATAAAAAAAAAACCACAGTTGTCCTCATTTTATTAATGAAAAACATAAATCTCTAATGTACCTATTCTTGTTAGCAATGTATCTCTTGCTGATAAGAATGGTAAATGAATACAGTTATTCACATGTATAAATTTCACTCACGTCAAAAAAATGAACATAAGCATGCAAGTAGGCCATAGGATTGTATCTTGGCAAACATATGGGTACAAAAGACTCTGAAGTTCTGCATAAAAAGACAAACTGTAAGATCATTGTTCAAGGTTAAAATCCTTCATTTCAGAGTATGTCATGATTACCTAAAAGATTCAGAGGACAGAATGAAATTCGCAAGTAATAAAATATCATCAGGATGCAAAGTTGCCTTTTGTGCTCCAACAAGACTAATAACCTGAAAATAATCAAGAATGAAATATAAGAAACATTAAAAAGAACAGAACTAGGGAAACGAAAAAAAAGGAAACATCCCTAAAGATAGTAACCAGTGGTAGTAAGAGCAAGAGCATAATCCTTATCCATTCACCTTGCACAAGTTATTAATTTGAGTCGAGAGACTAGAGATATCATATACCGTTGTATTTCTACACAAGTAGCAAGCCTTACACAGAAGTTCACAGAACTTTAGCATAGATACATCTAAAGGACAAATCAACATGGATAACTGGAAGAAAATAAGTGCACAGATGTACGCACCTCTAGACGGTGCGTGTGGAACCTAAAGTGCGTTCACAGATAACTAGAAACACAGATTCACAGTACAAAATAGAAACACACCTATGTATGAACCTGTTGAAGGTGCAAGTGGAACATAAAGTGTGTTGATAAATAACTATTATGGAAACTTGCTTTACACTACATATCAACGAAGTGTCAGGATTTGATAAAGAATGAACTTTAACACTTAATTTGTGGTTATCAAGCCTTATATAATTAGTATCATAGTGCAAGCTGCCATCAAGTTGGGCGAACCTTGTGCTCACACATCAATAGCGCAAATAGAACCCCTGAATCAGCAACGTCCTGCAAAACTGCACTAGCTGCCTGCCTTGTTGATTGAGCAAGAGGAAGGCATGTGTAGGCATGAAGAAAAGTCGCAGGATTCCTGTACAGTTGTTTCGATGGGACTCCCGATGAGTGCTAAATGTCCAAACACTTATGTGGCATAAAAATAAAATGAGTCCCAAGCAAAGGAAAAATTGACTGACCAGCTGAATGCATGTATAAGAGATAGGAAAACTGCATCTGTGCCACCAAGCAATGTTGCCATATCAAATCTGGGATTCTTCTCAAAGCACCTATTGACTGACTTTGTCAAAATAAGCAACAACTGCAAAGTCATGTTTTCAGAGACATATCAGTGTAAGGATGGAGAAGGCATATCTGCATAAATTTAGCTAGGCTAAAAGTCCGTAAATAAAGAAATAATAATATCAAGAGATGAATGCAGCAGCGGAAGCACCTGACCATACATGAGCTCTAGTTGCCCCCTCAATCCTTCATATGACTCTTCCGTGCAGCTTATACAAACTAAATATATTGGCCCCTTCACAAGGAAAACTATCTGAAAGACAGCGTTAAAGAATTTAGTAGCGTGTAGCATTAATTATTCATCTTGAATGAAGGAATAAAGTATGTCTTACAATCTAAAGTAAGATATAATATGACACTATGTGACAAGGAAGGCAAGCGGACCTGATGTTTGCCAGCTCTCACAAATTTGATATGGTCACCACTAGAATGAGAGGAAATAAGGTGAGACAGAGTTAAAGAATGCCAGAAAAGTAAGGCCATTGCTATAACAAACGCAAGGACAAGGCCATATATATACCTGTTCTCAACAAAGGAAATGATTGCTTGCAATGTAGCAGAAAATCCGGCTAGCTTGTGCTCATCACCATACCTGAAAGTTGCAGCAATGTGTTGTCATGGTTTCGGTTGGTTGGGGAAATGTGCATAGTAGATGTAGCGTCACTGTATGTAAGGACTTAATTCCTGTTCCTCCATACCTGGAATATATTGGCTTGCCAGAATTGCTCAGGATGAAGAAATGTTTTTTCCTCTTCCTCCAGGAAGATGAAGCATCGTCCTGAAACATGAGAGCCGCAGGCTTGGTGACCCACTGCCACTTGGGGCAAAGTCCGAGTGATGGGGGTTGACGAAGGTGTGTAATGTAATGTAATGAGCTCACCTCGTGGAGATGCTTCTTGTCGCGCGGCCAATCCTGGGCGGGTTCGGGGTCGGGGTCGGGGTCGGGGTCGTCGTCGAGGCTGCTTCCGCGCTCGCCAGCGTATCCGCTGCTGCTGGGGCTGGGCTGGGAGACGTCGTCCCCATCCTTGTCATCGTCGTGGAGGCCCTCGGGCGCCTCCTTCCACGCGGAGGTGCTGCCCCCGCCTCTGGACGCGGCGGTGAGGTAGCCTTCGTCGTCGTCGTCGTCGTCGAGGTCATGGATCTCGGCGGTGTGGAAGTCCGGGGGGAGGTCCCTGGTGCCGCGAAGGGAAAGGGCGGCGAGCCTGGCTGCGGATTCGGCTGGGGGCGACGGGGCATCATCGGTGGGGTTGGGGCTGGGGTAGGGGTTAGGGTTGGGCTGATCCATGGCTGTCCTCCAGGCTTTCCCTCCACCAAATTCCCCTCGTGCCCTTCTCCTCCTCCCCGCGAAAGGGAAGGAAAGGAAAGAAAGGAACCCTCCCGTCCCCTTGTGTCACGCCCCGTTGCCGCTGGCCAGCGCCGCCGACGTGAGGAGTTTCAGAGAGCACGCGAGACACGAGGAACGGGAAGAGGAACCTTCCTCTTTCGCCGAGTTCAACTTCAGAAAATGCAGTGGTTCTTAATCCGATACAACGCACGCTTAAAACATCCCTCTTAGCCTATGGCCCACATGTCATAATATACCTATTACATAATTGCTCGAATACGTCTTCTGACTTCCTTAGCGTACTCCTCTTGGTTTACGTCTCCTTCAGCTCGTAGGTGTACCAGGTCTGACATCTCCTCCCGCCGAAGATGATGCTTGACCCCAAGCAGGTGCCTGCGGGAATCGCTGACGAATGACATTGTAGTCTTCCCAGATTGTTGAAGTTGGTGGCAGACTTGTCCACTAAATGAGCACCTGTGGAATAGCGGCATTACAACGCTTGACTGGTCGACGCTCAAGCACCTTCTCAGGCAGTGCCGCCGTGGCCTCAATATCAGTGGTGAATGGAAGCTCAGAAAAAACTGGTGTATAAGCTGCAACCAGGGGCGAATCCAACGGTGGGGCGGGGGGGCTCAAGCCCCCCTACCCACACCGAAGCAGTGGAACCCCCTATGGAGCTCCCATGAATTTTTAGGTAAAGTTCTATAGTGTAGGGGGCTGAGGCTTAAGATCGAGCAGCAGTCGGAGGTATGTGTTGTTCAGCCCCCCTGAAATATTTCCTAGATCCACCGCTGGCTGCAACAAAAGGTTTAAGTTGTGAAACATGAAACACATCATGAATCTTACTGTCTTCTGGAAGCTTCAGGCGATATGCCACCCGCCCAATGCGTTCAGTAACGAGATAGGGCCCGAAATACTTGTATGACAGCTTAGGAAATGGTCGATTCGCCACAGAACTTTGTGTGTACGGTTGCAGCTTCAACAGAACTTGGTCACCCACTTGGAACTCAATGTCAGTACGATGTTTATCAGCCATCACTTTGATTCTATTCTGCGCCCTAGCCAAATTCTCCTTGAGGGCCTGCAAATGCAGTTCTCTGTTCTCTACTAGTTCAGCTACAGTAACTGATGTTGTTTGTTGTATAGTAGGAGCAGCACCAACCTTTGGATCATAGCCATATAGAGCCTTGAATAGAGAACACCCTAGCGAACTATGGTAGGTAGAATTATACCACAGTTGTGCCAAAGAGAGCCAAGAGTGCCAAGTTTTGGGTGAATCTTGAACAGCACACCGTAGGTACAGTTCAAGACATTGATTTACTCTCTCAGTCTGTCCATCACTCTGTGGATGGTAGGCAGTGCTAAGCTGTAGGTTCACTCTGTAAAGCTTGAAGAGTTCCTTCCAAAAGACACTAACAAATATCGTGTCTCGATCAGAGACAATGGAGTTTGGGAGACCATGAAGCTTGACAATGTTATCCATGAAAAGTTGAACTATGATAGATGTTGTGTATGGATGTTTAACTGCCACAAAATGAGCAAATTTGGTAAGTCTGTCCACTACTACCATGATCACACTGTAGCCATTGGATTTAGGCAGGCCTTCTATGAAATCCATAGATATGTCCATCCACACCCCCTCAGGAATTGGTAGAGGCTGTAGTAGTCCAGGTGGGGAGTGATTAGTATGCTTGGCTTGTTGGCAGACAGAGCACTGCTTAACAAAATCTTCCACAGCCATCTTCATTCCTTTCCATGGAAAGTGAGTCTTGAGTCTCTGGTATGTTGCTTTAGTACTTGAGTGACCCCCAATAGCGCTAGAATGGAAAGCTGCTATAATATTTGTCTGTAGGGCTGAGTTTTGGGCAATCCATAGCTTGTTCTTGTACCTAATGATACCATTGTCCAAGCTGTAACCTACCATATCAGGACTTTGGATAGCCAGTTGGGTCAGCAGCTTCTGGGCCCTGGGATCAGTTGTATAAGAATGAAGTACTTCCTGCAACTAATCAGGTCTAACCATGGAAACAACTTGTAAAGTGTGGAGGTGAGACACCCTGGATAGCGCATCTGCTGCCAGGTTGTCTTTTCCTTTCTTATAAACAATTTTGAACTGCAGCCCCATCAATCTGGTCATTGCCTTCCTTTGCATATCAGAATGCAGGTTCTGTTCCTGGAGATAAGCTAAAGATTTGTGGTCTGTCAAAATAATAAATTCTTGTCTTTGTAGATAGTGTCTCCACCTTTCCACTGCCATAATCAATGCCAAGAACTCTTTCTCATAAATAGATAGGTGTTTGTGTTTTTCACCCAATGCTTTGCTAAGAAAAGCAATTGGTTGGCCTTTTTGCATCAAAACTGCCCCAATGCCATCTGCACAAGCATCTGTTTCCACAGTGAATGGCTCTTGGAAATTGGGTAGGGTAAGGATTGGGGTGTGGGACATAGCAATCTTGAGTTCATCAAATGTTGTCTGTGCTTTTGGATTCCACTGGAACTGCTTGTGCCTTAACAGATTGGTTAGTGGTTTTGCAATGACGCCATAACCCTTCACAAACTTCCTATAATATCCTGTTAACCCCAGAAAGGCTCTCAGCTCTGTAAATGTTGTGGGTGTTGGCCAGTGAACCATAGTTGCTGTCTTCTGGGGATCAGTGGCCACCCCATTAGCTGATATAATGTGCCCCAAGTACTCCAACTGGCTTTGAGCAAAGGAACATTTAGACTGCTTCAAATAAAGTTGATTTGCCCACAGTGTTTGGAGAACCAGTTGTAAATGTTCCTGGTGTTTTTCTAATGATTTGCTATATATGAGAATATCATCTAGGAACACTAGGACAAATTTCCTCAGAAAAGGTTGGAGGACTTGGTTCATGATGCATTGGAAGTAGCTGGTGCATTTGTAAGCGCAAAGGGCATTACCTTGAACTGGTAGTGGCCCTGATGTGTTTTAAAGGCACTCTTGTACTCATCTTCAGGTAACATTCTCACTTGGTGATACCCTGACCACATGTCCAACTTGGTGAATATTTCTGCTCCAGACAACTCATCCAGAATTTCTTCGATGATCGGCATTGGAAATCTGTTCTTAATAGTCATGTCATTCAACTTTCTGTTGTCCACACAAAATTGCCAAGACCCATCTTTTTTAACTAGGAGCACAGGGGAAGCAAAAGGGCTATGGCTGTGGGTGATTAATCCAGCCTGTAACAATTTCTGGACCTGTTCCTCTATTTCAGTTTTGTGTTGAGGAGAATAGTGGTAGGGTCTGGCATTGACAGGTATAGCTCTAGGAATGAGTGGAATGGAATGATCATAGCTTCTAGATGGTGGTAGTGTCTGGGGATCATGGAAAACTTGGCTATTTTGATCAAGAATGAGTTGTATAGCTGGAGGTGGTTTGGCTAGTGGAAGGTTGGGTGGAGATAAGGTGTCATGGATGGGTTTGACAATAACAAAAGCCCAACTATTATTGCCTTTGGTGTCTTTGTATAATTTAGTGGCAGAAATGGGTTTGGCTTGCAAAGGAGGGGAGATAATGCCCTGGAGCTTAACTGGTTTGTTTTTTATGTGGAATTGTAGGGTTTTCTTGGACCAATCCACTTCCATAGGGCCCTGTTGCTTAAGCCAGTCATAGCCCAAGATGGCATCATAGGTAGTCATGTTTAAGACTATCATGTCACTGCATAGAGTATGCCCCTGAATATACCATTGTAAGTTCTGTACTTTGGCTGTAGTGGTCAATATGTCTCCATTAGCCAACCTCATTATCCTTGTTGGGATTGGTACAGTAGCTAACCTGGCCAGGTTCACAAAGTTGGAACCGATGAAACTATGTGAACTGCCCGAATCCAGTAAGGTAAGCATAACTTTATCCTGCATGAGGGCTTTGAGCTTCATAGAATTGTCAGTATCCATACTAGAGAGTGCATTCAGAGATAAGTGACAGAAATCTTGGGCAAGAGTATCTTCAATAGCTAGCTGATTCAACATATCTTCTATAATCTCCTCTTTGTTTGTGTCTAGATCATTGATAACCAATGCATGAACTTGAGCCTTGTGACGTTTGGGGCAATTCTTTTGGTGGCCAGGTTCAAATTTATCACCACAAGCAAAACACAGGTTGTTAGCACGCCTGTAATCCCTCAACTGTCTGATTCTTTGTAGATTGACATTGTTTGTCTGAGGGTTAGGAGCTTCCTGCTTCTAAAACTATGGCTTGGGAGCAGCAGTGTTTCTGTTATACTTGGCCTTGGTTCTTTCTTGAGTTCTTTGCTAGATCTTGGCAATTAGAGCTGCCTTGTCAACTGTGAGTGGAACATGGGGCTCTACAACTGCGCGGATGTCATCCTTGAGACCAGCTAAATAAGCTGAAGCAAAGAAAACCTCATCATAATGGTTGTTGTGCATGGTAATGTTATACTACTGCAGTGCCTAAAAAGCCAAAGTGTAGTCTTCCACTGTACCACTTTGTTTAAGGGCTAGCAGATCACTGATGGTTGTACGAAAATCATCTATACCGAACTTGGACAGAACTACTGAGCAAAATGCAGTCCAGGAGGGCCAAGTGCGACCCTGTTTGTAAGCTTGCCACCATTTGGCGGCATTTTCCTGTAAGTGCATTGTAGCATATGTGACTTTCATCTCATCTTCGGTCTTGTAGATTTTGAAGTAGTTATCACAGTTGTCCAACCATATCTTGGGATGGTTGCCATCAAAAGTTGGGAATTGCATCTTGGGAAGTGCATGGTGAGGTGTGGAATCCTTGTGATGATGCTGCTGCCTATTGGAGGGCCTGGTTTTCACTACATAGTCTTTGCTAGCAAATATGTTATCAAAATGTGCCTCTTCCGTAGAGCTCAGAGAAACATTCTCTGATTGATGCATTGCAGCCTCATTCTCCATCTGACGTAGTGTTAAAGAAGCCACTGCTTGTCCATTGGCATGTACCTGCTTGGATA